GGCTCCATGAACACACCCGTCTTACTCCCCGGGTGTCTAGGAATTATCAATGACAAGAATATATTCTGTCGTCGAAACACGACACCGGGGGGGAGATTGAGGGGGATAATGAAGATTGGCCAACAAGTGTATGGGGCAGCCATCGGTCCATAAGGATTGAACCCATCTGTTGCCAGTGCAACACGTACATTACGAGCCTCAAGAGCTTTCTCGCGATGAATCCCATCAAAGTGGGTCCATGCTTCACAATCAGATGGATGTACCATCTTCTCAGGACTGTATCGAGTGCCATTTTTGTGCCACGTCATCTGTTTCGCGGTTTCCTCGGTCATGTATAGCCGTTGGATCCTCGGTAAGAATGGAAGATATAGTAGGATCTTCACGGGGATCTCAAGCTGCCTCTTCTGACCATCACCAGACTCTACCTCCAGGTACCTAGAGGATTGACACTTTGGACAGTACTTTGCTTTCTCGTGTTCTTTCCTAAATAGGACGCACCCCTTCAGACAAGCATGTATCTACTCATATGGCACCTTGAGTGCACGAAGGAGTTTCTACGACTCGTACATGCTCTTTGGCATAATGTGAGCTTCTGGAAGCAAGCTGCCAATAACTGCCAACGTAGCATCATAACAATCTCGACTCATGCTAAACTGAGCCTTTAAGGCCATTACCCGTCCAATGGCATCCAGTTGAGAAACCTTTGTGTGGCCGTGAAGGGGTTTCTGTGCCAAAGACAACATGTCATAATACGCCTTTGCGGTTGCCTCTGGCTCCTCCTCCCCACCTTCTTCACCTACGTGTGCTTCGTGAAAGTCATTTAGCCAGTCACCTACCCCGGCATCAGCATCGAAATCTTCGACGCGTGCTCTCACGACCTCCTCTCTCATCCGATCGGCTTCACCGTGGTAGATCCACCGAGTATAATCTGCCGTGAATCCATTCTTGCAAAGATGAGTAGACATGACATCCTTTGGTTGCCGACGCCTGTTTGCACATCTACTGCACGGACACCAAATGGCTGACGCTCCTAGAACTAGGGCAAATGCTCTATCTATGAAAGCCTCCGTCTTCTCAATCCATTCATCAGTCAAAGCACGCTGACTTGGGCGGCCCGTGTACATCCACTCACGGTCAAACATCCTCTGACATATATATATATATATATATATATATATACCAGCGAGACATTAAGAATCAATTGCATGTACACGATGTTCCTACCATCTAATAGGTCAGGATAGGTCCTAATCCCACCCGAGGATGCGTAGCTGGGGTTAGTCTCCATGGTCTACTCCGATCCGAGACAGAATTTCGGCAGCACCTCCCCGTTGTTCTCCAAATACACGTCCTGGTAGGGAGATTGTGTATCCGGAGAACAACAGGGAGATGCTGCCGAAACTCTGCCTCGAAATGGAGTAGACCATGGAGACTAACCCCATCTACGCATCCTAGGGCTGTCCAAAAAACGTGGACAATTCGAAACAGATACGGTTATCGATATGCAAAGAGCTGTATATTTCCAACCGTATCTCTTTCGAATGGGAGACGCCTAACCCGGTTACGTGCTCTACAAACATGCATGATACGGAAAAGAGGGGTGTTTTATGCCTCACCTCGCTGTCCCGCAAATAGGAGAAGCCTCAACCGCTACAAGGTCCACGGAACACCAACAAACAGCCAGAAGCCTCAGTCCTCCCTAAAAGAATAAGTCATTTCACATGAGTAAGTAATTACCTTTATATCACCATAAACAAAGTAAAAAGAAACAAGATAATGGATACATGAGGTCAGTAGAAAGACACTTCTGAAGCAGTGAATTTGTGATGGAGTAAAATCTATTGCAAAAGGCTATGGGCAGCAATACACGCATCAGAGATTAAAAGGCGTGTATAAACCTACATGCATATTGACGAAGTTACTAAGAAAGCCATTAATTACACTTGATCAGTAAGCAAATTTGCATGTAAAAAAACAAATAACAATCCCTTTAACCCTTCAAAAGTAAAGAAAACAATGTGATGAAGTACATAAGTCTAAAAACGAGGAACAAGGAACAGTATGATGATGTAGACTGCAGAGTAGTATAATATACCGATAAACGAAACTTATCTAGTCTAACATATATATATATGCACGGAGTTATAGATATTTTTTATTTGTATTGTATAGAATAAGCTAGCCAGGCATTAATTAGTGAATTTTCATTTTTCATCGAATATAAGCTAGCTAGCTAGGTTCCAAAAAACAGGACCTATAAGCATCTCTACGTTTCAAGGCCTACTCCAAAAATCATGATCTGGACTTTTTAGCCTCCTGTTGTGATGTGAGTTTTTTTAGTTCTCGCCTAGGCCTATACATAGGGAGTCTAAATTTCTACTAAACTACCTGATATAGAAGAATGTAAAAGAGGACTGGTACGCCAGAAGAAAGGCATCAATGTATCTAAATCAAGCTATAGCCCTACTAGAGAATGATGAATCATCAGGTTGCAGTTGCAGACATCTAAAGCTATATCAGTATAGCATGCATAGCATGGAGCCATGGACTGAGTTTGGACTCTCGAAAGAAATTACATACATCGCACAAGGAGGAGACAACTTAACACTTATCCAACATTTATATATATTATTTTGTGTCTGGTTCCAGAATCCTGAACATTTGCATTCTGCATATATATCACCCTTGTGCACATATACGTACCTAGATGGGGTTGTGGCGAGCTGGTGGCCGGCCGGTGTCGGGCAGGTGGCCGGCCGGTGTCGGGCAGCAGGCGGGCGGCGTTGACCAGGCAGCCCACGGCAGGCGGGCACCGGCGGCAGGCGGCAGGCGAAGCGCAGGGCTGCCGGCGTCGAGCAAGGGGCTCCCTGTGGGCGGGCACCGAGGTGGCGCAGGGTCTCGTTGGGGGCAGGCGGGCGGGGTCGTGCTCGCGCTCGGTTTCGCGGCGGGAACAGGGGCGTGGGCCAGCCGGTGGCTATGGCAGACCGGCCGGGTGGGGTGGAGGTCGACGGCGGAGGGAGGGGGCCGCGGAGTGGGGAGGGAGGGGCGGCGGAGGGGTTGCGGTGGAGGGTGTGCGGTCGGCAGCGCGTGGGGAGGGACCTCGGCGGGCGGCGGGCGTGGGGAGCACGATGGAGTGGGGAGGAGGAGGCGCGGGGGGGGGCTCGGCGGGCGCGGGGAGGGGAGGTCGGCGGCAGCGCGTGCGCCTGAAGGAGGAGGCTGCGCGTGCTTGCGATAGAATGGAGAAATTGCCAGAGCCGGCCAACGGCCTAGCTATTTTGCGGCCTGTTTGCCGAGTGTCGGCCCGATCCGACACTCGGCAACGTTTTTTTAAGAAAAAATTCCATCAGTTTGCCGAGTGTCGGCCGATGCGCACTCGGTAAACTACTTAAAAAAACCTAAACGCCTAATTGCCGAGTGCCGTGACGATTGGGTACTCGGCAAACATTTTTTTTTTAAAAGTGCCCTCCTGTTTTCCCTATTTTAAAAAATCCTTGTTCTCCCTTAACAAGAAATTTAAAAAAAAAAGTTTATTACATTGTTGCCGAGTGCCACCTATGCAGCACTCGGCAAACTTATTTCTATATTTCATGCTGCCCTTTTCTTTCCTCTACTTAATTACTTTCCTCTATTTCATGTTTCACTAATTTCATGAAATGAACTTGCATTACACTTTGTTAGGTGCACTCACAGATGTATATTTCAAGCTTGTACAAAAATTAGACTATTATTTCATGTGTTTGTATATCACGCATCTAAAATTCAATAATTGCGACGAAAGAATTAAAATTACGAAATGGCTCCGAAAAATTGCCAAAAATTCACAAGAAGCGATCTTTGTTCTCTATTGTATATACAAAAAAATTTGAAGTGAAACTCCAAATCGACATTCAAATTGTCTCCTCATCTTACCGGATCTTTCTCAAATCACATAAACTTCTCCGGAGATGATCCGATTTGTAAGCAGCGTACGTGTCAACTTTGCCGAAACACTCTCAATTTTTTACCATAGCCTCCACGTATGATATCATGACAACTCGACGAATTTCGTGATTTTCAGACTTCGTTTGCTTTTTATAGAATTTTCAGACGTTTCCACCACGCGTTTCTGCTCATGTTTCGCGAACACAATGTTCGAAATTTCTGGTCTGGCCCTAGATACGGTCTCAAAACAGACTCAGTGAATAGAATATCATTTTTTATTCACTTTTTTGGATATTCGAAGCACTTGCAGTTCAAATCCAAAAAATTACAGAAAATTCATTTGACTAAAATAAATTGACGAAATATAGTAAAATAACTCAGAAATGTACAAAACTTCAACACAAAGCAACAGGTATTGTAAGACAACAGTACAAAAAGTTTGGGAGGCAAAATCAAAAAAAAATTGTTTGCTGAGTGTCAGATGCCGACACTCGGCATATAACAGAATTTGCCGAGTGTCGCAAGGTGACACTCGGTATAGATGTGGGTTTGCGAGTGTCGTATTTTGACACTCGGCATATATAGATGGGTTTGCCATGTGTTAACGCGTGACACTCGGCAAAATGATAACGGAGGTCGACGGTGTTACCCGGACATAAAGTTGTCGTGTGTCTATTGTTTGCCGAGTGTAGGCACTCGGCGTAAACTGTTATGCCGTGAGTTTTGTTTTTGCCGAGTGTCGTCTTTGGGACACTCGGCAAACACCATGTTTGCCTAGTGCCCGAAATCTTGCCCACGGCAAAGATGGACACACTCGGTAACTTAGGTGTTTCCGGTAGTGATTTAGCACCGACGCTACATCTTTGTATGCTGAAGTTATTAGAGACGCTCGCTTGAGATGACTGATCTCATCTGCTAATCGAAGTGACCTTAAAAAGAAAACTTGAACAGCACGTCGTGCTGGTACGCCACACGCCGGGCCTCACGATCTCCGACGGGAAGTTGGGGTGGTTCACGGCGTCCGGGAAGGCCTGGGTCTCCAGGCACACCGCGCCATACTGCCGGTACACCCTCCCGCCCTAGCCCTTGATGTTCCTGAGCCAGTTGCCGGTGTAGAGCTGAATCCCGGGCTGGTTGGCCCACACCTCCAACGCCCGCCCAGACGCCGGGTCCTGGAGGTACGCGATCTGCCGGAACCCGTCGCCGTCCACCGCGTAGTTGATGTCGAACCCGGCCATGCCGGCGCCGGAGACGAGACTGACGCGTGAGCCCAGAGGCGTCAGCGCGCGCAGGTCGTACGGCGTGCCGGAGACTGGCGCGATCTCCCCCGTTGGGATGAAGGAGCTGTCCACGGGCGTGTACCGCGACGCGAACACCTTGATGAGATGGCCGAGGACGTCGCCGCTGCCGTCGCCGGCCAAGTTCCAGTACGCGTGGTTCACCAGGTTCACCGGGGTCGCCTTGTTCAGCGCCGTCGCGTTCATCCGCGTTCTCAGCTCGTACAGGGTGCCCAGTTGGTACGTCACGTACACGTCTAGCGGTCTAGGTCCCCCGGGAACCCTGCAAAATTAGTCATTACTTTACTTGCATCGTCATCGCATTTTAAACAAGTAATGTGTATCGTCAGCTCGTTGCACAGCATTGGTAAAACTGAACTGAATCTATCACCCTGTTCAGAGTTCAAATTAACCTCAACTGACTTCTTGGAGTTGCCGTACATATCAGCGAGGTTAGTGTGTTGGTTTTCACCTTCCTCCCCGTCGAAGCTGTGATAGTAGAGCGTGATGTATGGGGAGTCACCGCCGGGCACGTACTCCTTCACCGTCCAAATGACTCTGTTGAACCCCCTGTGACCACCTTTGTGATTTAGGTTGGCAGCATGATCAAACTAGTGAACATTTTGCCATATATGCATCGTGGTTATATTCATGCACGAGGTTGAAGAAAGTAAGATGAATTCCCAATGCAAAGTTTACCGTGAAGTGTGGTGGTGCCGTCTTTGTTCAGACGGATGGTTTTTCCGTCAAGAACGAAGCTGCCATTGGCGATTACATTTGTTACTCGTCCGAACACAGTTCCAAGGGCGGAAGAAGCGTGCTGATTAATCCATAGTTAACTTAGTGAATCCGAATCAAGAACGAGGTTTGGGTTATTAGCACAAAAAAAAACTAGGGCTAGTTTGGAAGGGTTTTTCTCACTTCCGGGTCTAGAGCTGATCTCGATCAAATGAAAAGAACTATTCATGTGTTTAGTGTGTTCTTCTGATTAGACTAGTAGGTCTCATGGGTTAAACATGTTCATAATCTAGCTAACATTTTGCACCAACAGGAGAATTTAGAGTCAGAGCCAATGAAGCTAGTTTTTCTAACATCACCATCTTTCTAGTGATTTCAAGAGAAAAACCGTCTCCTACTACAGTATATAAGATTCCCTAAAAGTCAGAACCGATTTAGGCCCTTTGGTATAGCTCTTTGAACAACTTCAGCGGTGTCTTCTCTATGGTTCCACGTGACGCCTTGCCAAACACTAACTCGAGAAATGACTTAGCAAGAGAAGGTCCATAGAAAAGGTGTTGTTTTTGTGCTACATGGGCAAAAGTATCTAAACGTGACTTCTCCGGCTCCTCTGCTTCCTAGGCTAAAGTCAGGTGCCAGCTCCGGCCGCCAAACAAGGCCATGAGGAGAAGCCATCTCAAACGGGACATTAGGCTTTGTTCTAAGTTGCATCGGCTTACCACTACATTCTGTTGGATCTAGATCTTAGAATTAGTTATATAAGCATTTTGTGTCTATCCTTCTATAGTCTTTATGAACAAATAGTACATAGTATTGTATTGTCTAACAGATTGCACATATGACAATGGCACAACACTGCAACCATAAACTCACCCAGGAGGAATATGCATGTAATGTTTTCGTATTAATTTCTGTTGAAAACAGAGGAACACATATTTACTGCTCTATAATTGTCAAAACACAGATATTTGTGAGCTTACCACATATTTTTCAGGAGTGTCATACCCAAGGACGACGTTGGCCAGGTTTCCTACAGCAAGCAAGAAAGTATGCCAACTTGTTTACATTACGAACGCTGTATATTACCACAAGACGTTAATGGTTTCTTTGGAAGCGGTGGAACCATACCTTTAGAGTCAGGCACGATGACAGACATCAGGGTGGCTCCCCAGTTGGTGACCACGATGGAGAAGTCCCCCTTCTTGTTCTGAAGCTTGTACGCCCCAACCGTCTGCCTCGCTTCATCTGTGCCGCCGGCCAATGCAAGGCACAGCAGAAACGAAGAAATGGGGAGCAGTGCAGCTCTAGCCATCGGCAACACTGTTAGCTAGCACATAGCAGTGTGCAAGTTACAAGGGGGGAGGGGAGAAGATATGGCTGCTCCAACGAGCAGGCAGATACGTATACATGCAGATGACTAGCCACTCTTGTATCCAAGTCTTGAGCCTTAAGTAAAATCAGAAGGTCAAAACTCTCAGTTCACAGGCTGTCGTCCAATGTGATTCTCTCTCTCTTCTCTAGAGATTTGAGAATTACTGGTAGTTTACGACGCTAGTCTTTAGATTAACTATTTAGAGCATGTTCGCTTGGTCGTAAACGATCGTGGATTATAAGTCAGAACTGTATTTTCTCTCACACCAAACCAGCCAGCAGTAATAATCCATGATCGTTTCAGCCGAAACGAATAGGCAGTTAATCATTCCACTTTCCCGCTTCTCTCCTCAACATTCAATGCATATGGCATCTTTGGAGCCAGAGAATCGATATAGAACTCGATGCATGGAAACCATGCTCATGGTACCAATAAACTAGCAGAAATGCTGGGTCAGGCCGTCCGATCGTCTGAACGCTCCACCCATCCTCTGCGCTACCACAGCCGCGCACCGCCCGCCCTTCTGCGCCGCCGCCACCCATGCCACCCACACACTGCCCTCTGTGCGCCGCTGCCCAGCTCCGCATTGCCGGTGAGCTCCTCGCCGCCAGCGAGCACACCGGTGACCTCCACATGCCGCCGACGAGCTTCCATTCACCAAAGCAGCAAGAAGTGTTGCGTTGAAAACGCATGTTGCAAATAAATGTGTGCTTCAGGTGTTTCTGTCTTCCTGGGGTATGTTGCAAGTGTTTTATATCAATGTTGCAAAAGTACATCGGGATGTTGCAAAAGTACATCGGGATGTTGCACATGTTGCAATGGGCTATACACCTATGTTCCAAGTGTATGTTCCAAATGTTTCATCTGTATCAGACGTATGTTGCAAGTGTTTCATCTGGATGTGGCAAAACTAGATTTGAATGTTGCATATACATGAATGTTGCAAGCGTATATTTCAAGTGTTTCAGGTGTTTCATACGTATGTTGCAGGTGTTTGCAATAGCTTTCTAGTGTTTTTTAGGTGCTTTACAAGTGTTTCAGTTGTTTCGTATGTATGTTACAAGTGTTTCATCTGGATGTTGCAAAAGTAGATCTGGTGTTGTACATGTTGCAATTGGACCCACCTGCCGCAGCAACCTGCTGCAGCTGCTGGGGCACAGACAAGCGCATGATAAACCGAGCGTAGGCGTGGGGGCCCACGCAGTGGGGCGCGCAAATAACAGATGGCGCGGCCTGCAACTGATGTTGGCCAGCCGGTCAAAATAGGTGCACGCATCCATACTTCATCTGTCAAGCTACCGTGTGTTTTGATCACGCCCGCGCGTGGGAGTCGACTAGCGCCACGGGTAGCGAGCAACTCTTGCTCGGGAAAAATGGCCAGCGAGAATGCCGGATTACCCGGCAGGGAAAAATAGAATATGAGATAGAGAGTCTGTTGAACTGTTTTTTTTTTTTTTTTGCCATAATTGCTAAGCTATAGGGGTTGCTCTCACATAAGCTAAAACGGAAATGGTAGAATTTAGAATTCTACACATATGAGTAATCTGAGAGAATAAACCGACCGACCTTTGGGATTGACGAAGAAAATAGTAACATTGTGTCAAGTTGACAATTTGAACATGAATAAACAAGTTCCAGAAGGAACCTAAGTAAGCTATGGTAAGTTCCAAATACTCAGCAAACCTATTTTTGTTTTAGGTTATTACTTTTAGGTGTCAATGGAATGGATCACATCCGTAAACTACAGAAATTGCATAAATTTTCAGTAGCATGATATGTGTACAGTGTACTACTTCATTCGCAGAAAAATATATGAGTGTTTTCAGTTTCATGTTTGGTTAGGTGGTTAATGAGAATCCTGCCAACATGTCCAGGTCGCCCGGGAATCCTGCCAACACATGCAAACACGTTCAAAAGTCAGATCATCGGCACCACTGGACAGAAGCTAACCAAAAATCCAAAACTGTTCTAGCAAAAAAAAAAAAAGGATGATACTGCACGATTGTCTTTGTTTTTTTGAAACGAAGATTGTCATTCTTTTAAGAGAGAAGTAGGGGTACAAGGTGTGTTGTCCACGAACCTATTGATAGACTTAATTTTTGTGGATTACCTGATAACCCAACAAGGGTCTCAACGCTTTCCAGTTCCTCTCAGGGCGTCGCCATCGTACTCCTTCACCGTCCAGACTGCCTTCGTTGAAGCCCCTGTGCCCGCCTGATTAACAAGGACAGTGAGATTAAACTAGCCATCCGATGGATGACAGAGCTTCGTGATCCCTGTTGGCCACACGGCCGGCAAGCGCCCCGAAGTAGGAATAACCATTCTGTTTGTGCAGCGCAGAACACTGCCGTCTTTACACGGAGGGATTCCGCTCTAAACTGCCAAAACAGGGACATGTCTGAACTTACCACATACTCCGCAATGGTGTCTTAACCAAGGACGACATCAGCCAAGTTTCCTGCAGCAAGTAAACCAACATTGTGCAGTAACAAAACCTTACGCAAACTGATGCTAAACAAAAGGAATAAGTCAGATCTTTCCACTCCCATGCTGGCATCCAGCGTTTCTTTTCTTTCTAGATATCTTAGATCTAGTCATAGTTCGTGGCGGCAAATCTCAGACTAGTTGCTCGATCGTAATTTTTTTCACGTCATTCATCGCATGTTGGGCCTTTGGTTCAAAGTTTTTTTTTTTTTTTGAAGGGCTCAGTAGGGGAATTCCCCCACCTTTTTTTTTTTTTTTGTATTAATGCTTGGAATAAAAGTAGTATAAAATGCACGAGCTGTGCTTTACAAAGAGCTTGCAAAGCCCAAGATAGAAAAAACAAAAACTTCTAAAGCAGATTCTCTAACCATAGACTTAAGGCGCCTGCAAGGCTGGGTTTGGCCTTGATGCAATCCAGGCCAATTTCATTCTTGAAGCTTTCTTTCCAACTGACGAAGGAACAAGGGATAGCATCGAAGATGAGCCGATGAAGTCCAGATGTTTCCCTGAAGAAACTTCTCCCAAAATCAGCTCTTGCTTGTAAGACCATATCCAAGTGGGGTAGATCAAGGTTCCAGTGTATACCAATATAGTTCCAACAGGTAATACTGAAAGGGCACTCAAAAAATAGATGCATACAAGTCTCTTCAACACCAGAGCTGCATATGGCACAATTGTAATCATCCAAAGCTTTGTTTTTCCTTCTCAATAGGTTTCTTATATTAAGTCAGTCCTTGAGAAGGAGCCAAAAGAAGAACTTGTGTTTGCCCAAGTTACCTGAGGACCAAAGCGAGGAGAAAAGTGGAGAGGCTACCTGAGTGCCCTGAAGAAAACAGTATGCCTTTTTGGAGCTGAAGCTTCCTGAGTTCCAATTAAACCTCCAGTTATCTGAAATGTCCTGATCCCAAGCTCTGTCTTCTAGGAGATGCTGAAGTCTCTCAAGTTCTTCAAAAGCTTGGACAGAGAGAGGCAGTGTAAAGATTCTGTCAACCTCATTGTCTAGGAAATAACTGATGGAGCATTCCTGTTTCCTGGCAAAGGAAACTTGTCTCTAAGACCGGGGTGACTCCAGCTATCAGACTAGAACAAGACTGAATTGCCTTGATTTGGGTTACAAGTTGCCATGGAGCTGAAATCAGGGAACATCTTGAGAATATCCTTCCACCAAAAGGATCCAACTGGGCACCTTGCATGTGGAGGGGATGTTGGTGTTAGAGTAAAGCTTTGACCAGGTCAGCTTCACCCATGGGATGTCTGCATTGCTGTAGAACTTATCCAAGAATTTTAGCAGAAGGGCTTTATTTGGGTTGTGAATATTTAAGTTTCTGTCAACGAGATGAGCACTACACCAGAATCAATCGTATTATCGTAGACCTCTTAAGCTCGGATCTGAGGATCTGCCTCTGGTTGACCCATTTTGGCAAGTGGTGATTAGCTCAAAATATTTTGTTCACTGAGAACTGAGATCTATAAACCAGCAATTGTAGTTAGCAACGTTGCCCAATTTGAAATGGGTGGTCTGGTCTTTTAAGCAACAAGATATGTTTTTGGAGTGACGGCAGGGGCAAATCTATGTGTATCCATCGGGGTCAGCTGGCCCGGTAACTTGCCAGAAACTCACTTAAAGTTCTTTAATCCACCTGCAAATTACTATTTCAAATAGAGAATCAACATGTGTTTGACCCCGTTGTTTAATCTTTGAACCCAATGACATGATATCTTGGATTCGCCCCTGAGTGACGGGGAACTGTTAGTTGATCTCCACCAATAGGCCCAATGGCCCTTGGATCTGCGCTCTGATCGGGGGCGTCCAACCTTAATATGATTGGTGGGCCCCTATCGCATAGCACTATAAAGAGAGGTGGGGATCAGGCTCTAACTACGAGGTTGACCGGAGCCGTCGTGACCCACCAACAGCTAAACCTAACCCGATCTAAAGAGAGTGCTGCCAGCGACGGGAAGACCCACTGACTTCGCAGTCACCACCGGACCGTGGCACCTCGCGTCACCGTCGCCTCTGCATCGCCACCACTACGCTGGACTCCACCACGCCGAGCTCCCACGACACCGGCGTCCATGCGGCTGCGGCACAACTGCGCCAGGGCGAAGTAGAGGAACCAATTTCTCCATCTAAGTAAGATTTTTACCCCCTGATCTACGTTTAAGAGGTACTCTGTGTTCCTAACAATGGTACCAGAGACGGGTTAACAGTGTGTAGATCTAGTATGGGGTAGAGAATTGAAAAGAAATCGAAGAGTAACAGAGGGTTCGATCCAGTTCGGATTGAAACCCTAACCCTAACCGGGTAAAAGAAAATGAAAAGAGACCGGGGGGTGGTGGGCGTCACTCAACTGCCGGTCACCACCGCTAAGGTGCCGCACCGTCGTCTTCGCCGGTGCGCGGCAAGAAAAGAATAGAGCCGAGGTGAGAGATTCGGTTTTCAGATCTAAAAGAGG